AACAGCTTTTATCATCGTTATCATTTGTGTTTCGGTTGATTGCAGTGGCGTACGCAGGGGGGGGGGGGGGGCTCTTAAGAGGAAAAAGTCCGGAAGGGGGGTACAGGAAAAAATATTTTCGCGTGATAAAAAATTTTTTGTGCCATGGCGGGCCCCCCTTACGAAGTTGGGCCCCCCCCCCTTGAAAAATTTCTACGTACGCCACTGGTTGATTGACATGTCACTTCATATCTTACAGATGATACAACTTTATAGAGTTTTTATGAATAATATGGCCAAATCATATACTACGTCAATATAAGCTGTTCTGGCTTTGTTTAATGTAAGCGATTCCCTTTTTTCATTCGGATTGTCATGAAGAAAATGTGAAATAGCTCTTCAAACATATATTACTCATGTTCAGTTTTCTTGAGCAATACTTGATCAAGTTCTAAAACATCTTTGAGAAGTTTTGTCTTGTCATAGAACATCTTCAAGTATCAGTACATTAAATCGATTCTAGAAAGTTCTGTCACAAAGCTGAAAACCAGTTCAGTCAAAACGGAAGATCACATTGAATTTATCTGCATCGTAATTTTGCTCATTCATCTTTATCAAATTTTTCTTTATCTCTGACACTTTTTTTTCATCAAATCAAATTAGAAACTTATTTAGTTACGGACTTAAGTTACTTGTCAGCTTGGCACATCACTATAATTACTAAGTGCACTTAGTATCAATACATGTAATATTAAATTGTTTCTAATACTGCAGATATCATCTCATAATATTACCAAAAACAGACATTGCTGAAAGTAACGTCGTTGAAATGTAGATTGCCGAATTTCAGCGATCTCTATTTCAGTGATATGATTTTTGACGAAATACATACTAACTGGAATTAATAAAGCATGGCTTTGACATACCCTTCGAGTATGTTGAAGCATAAAGCTTTCACTTTTTTTCTCTTGGTTCACACACACATGAATATTGATTGAACAGAAATAATGAAATTATTTTTCTTGTGAAGGAATCAGTAAACCGTTACTGTTTTGTCAGCATAGTCGCATATAAAATAATAATTAATTAAGATATCCAGATGAGTGAGATACAACTGGTTCCAACCGGAAAATAATAGAAACTTGTAAGTAAGAATTTGGTGATTAAATTTGATGACAGAACTTATTCAGTTCCTATCAAAACTGACCTTAACTAGAGAGAGTCGGCAGCCCACGGATTCGAATACTAGGATCATTGATCTGAGTTTCTGTGCGTATCTTTTTAAAGATATTGTCATCTACTTACATTCTGGTAGACAGTCATAAAATATATAATACTCCATTCTTTAAACGATTAGTATACTGATTATTGAAATTATAAATTGAAATTTTTGTTGGAGGGAGAGATGGCTAATCCCCTTCTAACCGCCATGTGGATACAGTACTAAATAGAACGACCGATTACCTTATTATTATTTGCATCAAGATAATAGCAATGTAACGTATATATACGACTTTTATAATTTAGCCTACTAATTAAAAAATCCTGACACCTTATCATATCCATCTATGTCAAAAACAGTTAAATGATTAGTAGCAAAAGATTTAGCTCAACGTCATGATTCTAGGAACATCACCTAACACCCAATGGGTTATGATAGTGACATAGTTTTAACGTCGTACTAAACATCGAAAAGAAACTGACGTCTACCAACGCCTGTTAATACTTCATTAGCACGTTGATGATGCCAAAGAATAAAAAATATCTGAATAACACTAAGACGTTGAGTATGAAAAAAATAGGCTTATAAGCTGTAGCTTATAGGTGTTAGTGCCTTTTCAATTTTTAGTGTGACTGTTCAGATTATGTCAAGACCATAACTTATTGGATGTTTCTCGAGTCAGCACATTAAGCTCGATATTTTGACACTAATCATTTAACTATTTAGAAGACCGATGGATGTTACTGAGCATTATAATGCTTTATTAATAGTCGTAAAAAATTAATTGTTTTTTTTTTTATCATAAGGATTCCAACATAGAGTCGTACTATATTTAGTATTACTCTATTTTGACGTGTTCCTTATAAAAAAAAAACTTCGTTTACGTCAAGTAATTCAATGGTGAAAACATCGAAAAATGATAACTAAATTATTATCAATTTCAACTTTTTAATGTTTTCTTCAATTTTTCATGGATATTTTTACAATTCTGTCATCAGATCAATTATTAATCGATTTTTGCAATCCATATTATGGAATATAGAATACTTTTCTTATATTACACTATACTTCTTTTCCCATTTACTTGTTGTAGATCATTACCTGACTTTAAATAAAGAACTAAAAAATCTTCTCTTTCCGCAATGACAAGAACGAATCTTTAGTATTGAATCAATAGCACACAAACATAGACTAAACAATCGAACAAGTTAAATCAAAACTGTTATTCATTAATAAATATTTTTTGTTGCGTTTTATAAGAAGAATTAAAATAAATATTATTAAATTTTCTAATCTAGATGAAGACAAGCTTCATTTATACAATATGTCCAGTTCTTCCAAAGTTAGCACATGAACTAACAGTGCATTAATGATCAAATGATCAAAAATGTAAGCAATAAATATGACAGTGAACGCAAAATAGATGTATCTCATTGATTGAATCTCTTTTGAATAATAAGTGGATTATGGAATATTAAAACATGTCGATAAAATTGAGAAATTAAAATCGCTGGTCAATGTTCAAAGTTGAAAAATATCCTCGTCGAAAATCTACAATTGAAGGTTTGATCTACGCATTGTCATCTATTCGAAGTCTTCTTTTTATGTTCCGGTGTGTTTAAATTTAGGAAGTCATAGAAGAATCCCATGCTATCAGTACTTGTTCATAATTATTGCAACGAGTTGAGTCATATGAACTGTTATTATGCCTTTCAAGTCACATCCGTTGCAAAAATAAATGAAACTAACAGTTTACGATGTCAAGTCTCGATCAAAGTGTGAGGCCGACTATTGGAAGACATTAATAACATTCACACCCACATCCAGTTGTTCCACCGAAATGTTCCACATTTTCCACTTGGAAGTATGGTCCACTCATTCTGATATACACATGAATTCGTGTGCTCAGATAATAGCTTTCTGTTTAAAGCCCTTCGAAAGGTACTGTACATCTTCTATCTCTTTCATGCTTATAAATGAAGTAATGCGTGGTGCAATACACAGTGATGTTGACTCCGTTTCTTTCTGTTCGATTTTTCAATGCATTACTCACTTTATGTTTTCTTCGCATAAGTAGAGAGGTAATTGGTTTCGACCGAAATCGGTTCTATTTTTCCTTCGTTGGCACAATATCCATCAAGGCTTGAGAAAGTATAAAAATAGAACTATTATGTTGGCAAACGTTCATATAAGGAATTCTCGATCATTTCATAATCATGTGACTAATCAGTAGCAGAGAAAATGCTTCTGACTGTCATGTATTTTACTCTATCGTCATTCCATCGTTCACTAAACAATCACAATAGAGTCGAACGATAAAATGCGCCATAACTTGGAAAGAAATAAGTGAATTCACTGCTAACTTCCTTCCTTCTCATATTCTATACAAACAAAGCTTCTTCAGAGGAGAAATCATTCGAATCTCAAATTTTGTTCCAGACAGCATACACATCAGAAAGGAAAAGAGAATGAAGAAGGCACCGACAATAATATAGCTTCTCTCTGTGTTGATGGTTTCCTTTGACTTGCTTCGAGATGCTGCAATTGGAAATAGGGATAATGTTTCTGAAAGTAATCCGACAGACAAAAACGCAACAGCAATACAAGAAAAATTGAATTGCTGTGGCTATTGTGTATACGGATACAATCCAAACTGTGGTAGCCAATGTGCGCGTGACGTAGGATTTTGCTGCCAGTGGTGATGATAAAAGTTTTCTATTGATGCCAAGATTCAATTTAATCTCGATTTTTTTTCTCTCAAAGCATCATTTTATCTTTTCGTTTTCAACTTTATTCAAAATGAATGAAAAAAAGTTCATAATGATCGTATCTTCAGTGTTTCCAAAACTTATTTGACTTATTGTACTTGTTCAAGGTGAATTTCTGTTCATTGTGTATTTCTAATCGTTCAGAAAATGCAAACGATCCGAAGCAACTATTACTGAGAGTTGGAAAGTCGAGTAGGTTTTAATATATCACCGACTGATAACAATGTATTTATTTGATATAGATACAAATAGTAAGAAAGAGATTTTGAATCAATAACATTTCAATCTATGTTCACTTTTTTTTACAATATTGGTTCCCAGATTGATTCATCACATATTTTAACATTTTTTTTTTTCAATAATAAAAACTGATCTGACTCATTTTAACTGTAAACAACCAGAGAGTATGGAGGTGGATATGAATAAGGGTTAAAAAAAACTTGAGTTTTGAAGATTGATTGAAAATTAAGAATTCGACAAGACAAACATTCGTCCACAATTACTTAAGCCAATTCATCTTTAATAACTTTCATTTGAAAATAAAACGAAGAAAACTCAACAAATCTTAATTCTTTTTTTTCTTCAAGATTTTTTCTTCATTCATAATATCAAACCGAAACGAATACTACATAGTATAATAATATGTTACTAAAAAAATCATAATTCATTCATGTTTTCATTTTTCTTCTCTGTCCAATATAGATTCGAATATACCAAAACATTTATGATTTAACCCGTAATCAAATATAATTTGTATTTGTACATCCAGGTAAATTATTCTTACCATTTCTAAGACATGGATGAATCGAAAATTCGTCATATGACGATATCTAGAGATAAACATCGTTCCAGTCCATATTATAAATAATATCCCATTCATAAACGTAATTATTTCGCAAATAATCGAAAAGGTATATAATTCTTTTTTCTTTTTCTTTGTATTAATACTAATGTCTATTACTCAAAATACTTCATATGCAATATAAATCGAATCTTTTAAAAGGAAAGCATTTTCTTAACAGTAGCTTCGAATGATGTTGTTTTATCTTGTTGTATTTCTACATCTGATTGAAATTAATAATGGAATTACAAGTCCAATTCTACCATATACAACATACAATCATTCAATTGAACTTAAAACAAATGTTGCTGATCTTTGGTGGACAACAAATGAAATAAACCAAGAAATTCTTTTTGAACTACATATTCATACAACAGGATGGATTGCGTTAGGTATCAGTCCATGTAAGTATCTATTTTAATTGAATATTAATCTTCAATTTGTTAAATTTAGCTGGTGGAATGAATGGTGCTGATATTGGTGTTGGATGGATCGATCAATCGGGTAATGTACATTTTCAAGTATGTACATTATTCTTTAATTTTCTTTTTCTTTTTTAATATTAATTTGTTCTGCTTGTTTTTTAGGATCGATATGCATTAAGTACTATAACTCCAATTGTTGACAATACGACAAATGATTGGTTTGCACTTCAAGGTCGTGAACAAAACGGTTGGACAGCAATTCAATTTAAACGTTCATTTGATACATGTGATTCAATGGATGTATCAATTAAGGTATGAATAATTTAATTATAACTGTGTATGAAAAAAGTCTAAAAAAACTTCTATTCTGAGTTTGATTCTATGTGATTAGTTTAAATAATCTCATGTTTTATTTCTCTCATTTTGATATTCATAGTCGGGAACTAACAATCTTATTTATGCTTATGGTCTTATCGATCCAACTAATGATATAACTTATCATGAAACACGACGAGATTCACGTACATTGTCTCTTCGATCTTACAATGATCCACCATTAGAAAGTGAATTTACTCAATTTGATCATTTTGATTTTCGATTAAATAATGTTAGTCTTCTTTTTTTTTTTTTAATTTTGAATATATAAGTACTACAGTTCAATTCTAATTATTTCTTTAGTATAGCATTCCATCGATAGATACAACATATTTTTGTAAAATATACAAAACACCAACTAATTATTCATCTAAACGACATGTTATTGCGGTATGTAGTAATGTTTAATAACTTTCCTTTTTTTTTTTTTTACTTATTTTTATATCATACAGAATCAATTTTTAATTGAATCATCTAATCGAGATTTTATTCATCATATACTCATGTATGAATGTGATTCTACAGTTCAGTTTAATGATTCAAATTTACCTGAAGGTTTATGCTATGATGTCAAAACACAAATTCAATCATGTGCGATCAATATTGCCACTGGATGGGCAGTTGGCGGTGATTATGTAAGAATTAATAACAGTGCTATTTTGATTTAAATGATAATCTATACATTTTAATAGATGACTGAATATCCTAAAGAAGCTGGTTATCCAATAGGTGGTGATTTTCAGATAAAATATTATATGATTGAAATTCATTTTAATAATCCAAATCAGATATCAAGTATTCAATATAACTGATGTTTCATAATAATAAAAATATTGAACTAATTTTAGATATTACTGATAGTTCAGGTATTCGATTTTATATTGGTAATCAATTACGTCAATATGATATTGGTTATTTAACATTTGGTACAGATATATTGCCAACTAGTCTTGCTATTCCACCAAATGTTCAAAACTTTATTGTTGATTCTTATTGTCCAATAAATGCGACTATAGTTTGTTTTATATTCTACGATTGTTTTTATTTTAATAGATTAATTTATTATTAATCTAGAGTATTCCAATGTCTGGAATTACAGTTATATCAGCATTTCCGCATGCTCATTTACAAGGTAAAATAATAAATAAATTCTTTATTAGAATTATTTGAAATATAGGTAGAAGTATTTCGACAAAAATAATTCGAAATCAAACAGCTGTACAATATTTATTTAATGGTGAAACATTCGATTTTAATTATCAATTTGAACATCGTCTTGCAGAACCTATTAAAATATATTCCGTAAATAATAATTTTTTTTTGTTTTTCATTTCTCATAATGTATGAATATTTTAGGGTGATGAATTTGCAACTCGTTGTGTTTATAATACAGTGAATAAGACTCGTATTACATTAGTAAATTGATCAATAAAAAATTATTTATGATATTAAGATTTTTTATTTTATTGTTAGGGAGGTGAAAGTGTACACGATGAAATGTGTCTTCATATATTTACTTATTATCCTCGGATGAATAATACTTCTATATGTTTAAATAGGATTTCTTTTTCTTCATGGCAAATGTTAATGAACAAAAATATATCGTAATTTAAAATGAATTTTCTATTATTTTATTTATAAAACAAAGCAATTCAATTAAATATTATTTTTATTATTTAGAGCAATTTTTTCATTTGATGAGTTTGAAAATTGGCTAATGAATATTAATTGGACATCACAATTAGTTACTCAATGGCAAGAGTTTTATAACAATGCTTCACGTTTGGTCCTTTATGGTGGAGAAGCAAATCTTCAACACTTAATGTTGAGTCGATTACCAAAATATGAAGATTTAAAACAAAAAGAATGTAATAAATCATCAACTGGCAATAATACTACAGTTATTATTCCTAGTTTTAATACGATTGTTTTCTTAGCGATATATTTAATGATGTTAATAAAATATTTAATGCTTTGAAAGAATAAAAATATTAAATAATATCAAACATCATGTGACATTTTTAATGTGTTGACTAATGTGATACAAAAAACAACTGCATCATTGAATGACGCCGAGTAATATCTGATATTATTAAATAAATATCATCACGATATTTGTAGGACTTGATATTAACCAACTTCATTTGGTAACATAAACACTTTTATAGTCTGATCAGTGTAAAAAACATTGACTAAAAGCTCTTAGACAATGTAGGTGAGGGCGTAGAACATACGTGTGGATGTGAAATGTACGGGTGGTGGTAACGAGAAGATTCTCATCGACACCCACACTCAACTCCGCACACGCCAGAGATGACATCAGTTTGGTTTCCAATTGAATCGAATCGACATTGGTTTGATTCTAGCTTTCTGAAATCTATTTAGATTCGTTCCTTTCCCAAAAATATCCCAAACCGACTTCAACTTAACCTGATCTCTAGTACACTTGTTCACTTTTCTCCAAGTTTTGACTAGATTCGGTTCAAAAAATAGATCCATTCGGTTCTGCTTTACAAAACAAATGAACAAGTTCCATCTCTGGCACTCAATGTATGTGGGTGTGAGGCTGTACTTCTTTGCTTAACCTGCACCCACATCCGAGCAATTAAAAAGGAGGCTTCTCGAATTTGGAATGCCAATGAACTATAAGCTTTTAATGCGATTCGAGAGCACTCGGGATTGTAGGTTTACAGTACGAAGAAGAGTCGATCTGGTGCACTCAGCTGGGCCATCAAAGATTTTATTACAAAGATTGTAGCAATGGGTCGATTCAAAAAGGAAAAATTAGAATGCTGAGAAGCAATTTTCTGATTAATTTTTATCTTAAGCAAATTATACTCACAGATGCCATAATGTATTATCTTTATGAACGATTCAATTCGAAAATTCTAAATAAATACATAGTCTCGATTAAAAAGACACTGATTTGTTTTATTTTTCGATGTCAAAAAGGTTTTTCTTGACGATACTAGCATATGAAAGGCTCTTGCACAATTCAAGTGATGTTGCAAAGAAATCAATAGTGCATTAGTAATAGAACTAATCATTGATTATTTAATGTCTAGATTGATGATGATAAGTGCGTACAAAAATGTATTTCTCGTCAAATTGTTCTGAATCTGCTAAGAATAAAAATATCCGTGTCAGTCTTGTATTACAACTATAGCATTTGTCAACTGATCCACACTTTTTGCAATTGTCTTTACACTTATCGACGATAAAAAGTACAACACTTCACACGAATAAATTCAGTATTTGTACGTTCTAAATTTCAACACCAAATCTAATGGCACTGTTCTTTATTCCATTTGAAGAATATTTAGCATATCCTTTCAACATTCGGTAAACACAGGAGAAAAAAACTGATTTTTTAACTTTTGTATGTTGTTTGTAATTTTTGATTTTTTTTACATTTTTGGATTGCTTTAGATTGTTAAAATTCATTACTGGAAATCTAATTATTAACAATTGACAATAATAAAGGTTCGAAAAAGATCAAATATTTGATAAGACAAGATAACAGCGCGTCATATGTGATGTTCAGAAAACTTTGAGTCATCAGAACCAAGAAATGATTCTTAAAGAAGTGTTTTAAACACGATCGTATGGGATAATTATGCCCTCAGCATATGTAGAATTCGAATTATCGCTTATAATGAGTTGTCTTGTTGAATTGTTTTCGCATACACGTAATTTGTCGTATATTCCATGGAAGTTTCTTCTCTCTTTCTGTGTTTTGCTTATGCTCCATCTTTGTGTTAACGAATCAAAGCCATGCTTTTCCATTTGTAGATGAAAAAAGTTTGGAAAAAGCACTCCGATCGTCTGACCGCAACCCATTGTGAGAAGAGTTTCTTGCGTCGGTGGTGAGTAGACACGATAGATTAGACATCAGAAGAATGATTGTTTTTTTGTCTATTCCACCCTATCGTAAACTAACGGCATCAAACAAGTCCATGCCACTTTTTCATCGAAATAATATTTGTTTATCTTGACCTTTTGATAAGATTCTCGACACAGTCACTCATAACATATTGATTCGGCGGTGTATTCTACTTTTGAATTGTATTGCAAAGGCGTATAAAGATTGCATTGACTTCAAATTTTTGGTGCTCATGGGTAAGAGTCGAGTCTCTTTGAAGTAAAAAAACAAACAAACTGAATGCTCATTCAATAATCAAGCTGAGAACTTTGCTCTATAAGTGTCAGATTTTTGCAGACAAAAATTATTGATATGGCTGCAGATTTCTATGAATTCAATGAACTCATGTCTTCGAAAAGTTTCTAGAGCTTTTGCAAAATGAAATATCGCAGAGAGAACTCATGTGTATTTTTTTTTCTCTTAGAGTTCACCATGTGGGGAAATGTTTACTATTTCAAATGGTATCTTCAAAAAATGCACTTAGGGCATAGACGGCAAAATTCACAGAAATTTGTGACCATAGTAATAATTTTGTGATCTGCAAAAATTTAATACTTCCAAAGAAAAGTCCACAGCCCCATTCGTGAAACAATTATCAGTTTGTTTTTGTTAAATTCGAAGAGACTTTACTCATATCTATGGATACCGGAAGTTTGAAATTAGCACAATTTTTATACGCTTCTTCGATACAAAGGGATAGGAGAATATGATACCGTATTAATATTTTTGTTTTGACTGACTGTAGAGAGTGTTATGAAAAGGTCAAGGTAAACAAATACTCTTTCAATGAAAAAATGGCATTTACTTGTTTGATGCCGTTGTTTTTACCATAGGACGGAGGAGGAAAACACTTAATCGTTCTTCTGATGTCTCATCCATTGTGTCTAGTTGGCATCTAAGAAAAGTGATTCAGTAGAGAAATAATACGTAATACTCGTGACGATTTTTGACTATGGATGTAAAGATTGAATTTTATTTGAGCATATGTAGTTTTTGTTGAAGATGTCTGTTGACACTCATTGCAATATAGTAATTCATTGTAAATGAAATCGTTTCTCAATCAGACTTCAAATTTTTAATAGAATCTCTTCAAAATATGACTGATTAAATAAAGAGATGTAATCGACTGTAAAGAATTATATTAAAAACTCTGTCAGATTTCATGATCATCCTTATTTCCAAAAAATAAAAATGCACAGTTTTCTAGAACACTTTGAAGTTCGTGCAATGGTATAAATGAGGTCATATTTCTATTAAGTTTTAGTGGAACCAGTACCGACTTACTAGTTTAGAAACATCGTGCAAAATGATGAGCAGCCACCAACCGATCCAAATCAATTACAATCGAAAGAAACCTAGTAGAAAAAAATCTTCTCCTAACGAGAGAACCCATTCGACTGATAATCGTCCATTTAACCTTATATTTTGCTTATGGATGGCACTTATAGTATAACTAAAAAGATATGGTGTCTATTCAGAAAAAAAACCGCGAAATTCACAAAAGTGAAAGAGCGTTTCAGCGAAAAGTAAATCTGCGAGAGACAAATTAGCCAATGTAGAAAATAGCGAAAACAAACATGGAGAAAGGGATTTCAGCGAAGGGTATGGGTGTGGTCTCGTCAAAATAACCTATGTAGAACAATACCCACACTCTTAAGACGTGACGAATTATCTCTTCGCCAACAGCTAGGAAAAATAAATAGGGGTTTTCAGAAAAAAATCGACCAATAAAATATACATTGTCCGAGGAGAAATAGAAACTTTGACTGAACGTCATGTACAGGAAGAAATTGATCTGATCAAATTTGTTCATATCTTATTTACGCTAGTCGCTAATAATTCGAAAACAGTAGTTTGAATTTCTTATTCTCATACGTGATTTATCTTGTTCTTTTTTTCGTATAACTCGATCTCTACGTATTACATTTCTCAATTTCTTAAATCTGACTCAATGATATTTTCTATTTGGTTAAAAATAAATATTTCGCTATTTACCTTTCGCTATTTTGTCTTTTGCAATTCGTCCAAAATTACTTTCGCTAATTTTTCTTTTCACTCAAATATCCTTTCGCTGATTTGCTCCTACACCCCCTGTTTTATTAAAAGTAGATACCCTCTTAGTAGAAGGTCTCATTGGGAAAAAGTTGGCAAGTGTATTACAAGACCGAATTTTCTAGTTCGATCAATATACAAATGTCGAAAAGTTTCTTCTGCAAATGATTCATGGTTTTCGATTTAAATGAGCTGTCAAAAGATTTCCTGCTTGTCTGATTGTCGAAACGAAAAGTGATGGATTGCTATTCCTCAGAAGCAAATCAGAAAGACAACCTAATAACATATTCATTAGAAGAGAATGTTTTGGCTTTGTCTTTAACGAATGGGACTAGCCAACGAATTCTTTTGAACGGTTCAAAAGTTCTTTTTCTCTTTTCAATTTAATGTAATTATACAATCGAGTTTTGCTGCAGTTGCCTTGATCTCAAGTATATTGAGATGATTAGTTTTGTCTATTATGCTTTAAGAATCAGTAACCACTGATAAATATTATCAACATGTCACACATTTGCTTAACCTTCTCAATGAAATGCTACTATCACTGTGGTATGAAGTATATAAACCTGTCAATTTCAAACTTTCAGTCATTTGTCACCAAGTAAATATAGACTTCACTGATGGGTTCTAATATGTTACTAATATTTATGATACCAAAGGACTGTTCAGTAGGTGATAACTGCTGTCATAAGAGCGAAAGGGTTCATTTTCGTTTTTAATCAAAGCTATATCAGTTTTTCGTTTGCCAGCATTCTGTGAAGTTCTTGTGTAGTGGTATAACCAGGCGAAGACTAGATAGACTCACTATCCCAATGAGGTTCTCAGTTCCCTACAAACAGTTGAGTCTTGCTGAAAATTGACATTGAACCTTCAGAAGAACGTGATAAGAATAGCTCAGCTTCTTCTCTCTCCCTACAACTTTTTCTGGTTATACTACTATTATTGCGAGCAATGATCAAGATGTTAAGGTCTTACACTAGCATCCGAAGATTTTGACACAATTT